CTTTTTTCATGTAGCTCAGTAAAATAATTCATTTCTAAGTGATATGTATTTTGTGTGTTCTATTTCTCGCAGCGATGAAGGCGGGGCGTGTTGATGTCATGCTGAGTGCATTGGCCATCTAATTTCACTTCACTGCGTACCTTTATATACAAGCGCGTGGCTTGTTATGATTGGCTAACTTAAAATACCACGTTTAAGGCCAAGATGTCTTAAGTACGTTCTAAGTGTAAGTAGATATTTACCTAATATTTGGTACGGGCCTGGTGTTGCCTGGTGGGTTAGAGACCCATATTGCTAAGCCGGAGGTCGCGATTTCCATCCGGGACTAATGATTGTGTGATGAGCACAATTAATAAATTGCAGATAATAATCAAGGTGGAGTATACCAAGAACTAGACAAACATACATACGATTAGGCATACACAGATACAGGAGAACGGCTTTATATATACTCAAAATAAATTATCTGCTCTTGACGCAGTGATGATAAGAAAATGTTGTTTTATTTTAATTAGGGATTTAAGCCTTCATGAGCAATTGAAATAGATATTATATTAGGCACAAAAAGGTTATTGGTTTCGTTGGTCACACCGCAATAATTGTGATTAGTATATTTAACCACTTATATTTACCTACACAGTCTTGCCTTAAAATTGTGGCAAGCTAAACATCGTGTTCATTAATGACATTTTCTACATCATTACATGTTATAGCACCATGGTGGGGCTCGTGGCTGAGTGGTAACTGAGTGGGTTAGCACATTGCAAAGTTGAGCAACCCTAGTCAGGTCAGTCTATGGATGGATGACCTTTATTAACACGTTCAGATCCCTTCGTGACTCGGAGAGCACGGTTTAGTTAGAGCCCTTAAAGTCTGTTAAAACTCTATCTACAGAACTTCGATATCACCTAGTACCTGGGATGTACCTAGAGGTCTGACGGCAGTCGCTCCATGTAAAAAGTCGAAATCAGCCGTATCATAGTAGATCCCCATCACTTGGGTAATGGCACCCAAACACTGTGCGCTTTTCAAGACACTTTTTGCGTCGCACGACTAATCTGTGGAACACATTATCGTTTGCGGTATTTCCGGAGTTGCAGGCGTTCATCGGCAGTGGTAATCATTTTCCAGCAAGAGACCCGTCCGCTCATTTCTCTTTCACGAAAAAAAGCCAACCTTGTTTGTATAAAAAGGCTCGGCAAAAGCCGAAATTTTAAAGCAACAACTAACAAATATGTGAATATACGATATTTATGACCTACACAAGATTCATGAATAACCAACTTAACTAAGTTCTACTAAGTGCGTGGATAATCGACTCATAGATGTCATTGATCTAATTCAAGGCCAACGATGCATGTTCAAACTTGCATTATCATGACGTAACCCAATAAAATTGTGCCGTAATAAATACGCAATATTTTTATCAGTGTCCTTCGTGCTCTCGGCCAGATCGGACGTGTCGACTTGACGAGTTAAGACAAATCAAACACATACAGTTTTTTGCACGACTTTCTGCACATCAAACAGATATTACTTTTTTAACCAATGGCAGTACCAATCAAAATTTTGGTTACATTTATAGTGACCTTTACATTTTCGGTCGTAAACTCTCCACCCACTGTTCGTGATTTACATCCTTCGAAAAACGCGAGTGTTCAAATTGCAAGGACCGATGACAAAGATGTATTAAATTTATCGAGGAAACGACGAGAAACAGCACGAGGACATGGATGTCCTAAACGAAAGATTTGGTACTACACCAGATGCAGAACTTATAAAGAGTAAGTTTATATTTGAATTGCTTTTACCTTTCTATAATACCATGCTACTGGATTTCTGGAAGTTTCCATGAACAATTCTTAAACTCGTATGTATGATTACAAATTATAGAATTTTAATAATAAATTTAGAGTTCGTTATCAATATGACTAATGCAGAGGAACCTTTTCACATATTATGATTTCTTTGAATACGATCATACGCGTTATTAGTTTACTCGTGTTGTAATTTATTGAATAACAATTAGGTATCTTACTTTTATTAGAGTTGACAACGGCGATGTAGTGCTTCTTTGGCCTGTTCTAGTCAAATCATGTGGCCCATAATAAACTGGAAAATAACCTACTACCTATAATACAGGATTTTGAATTAAAGATGGTTATTTATTTACGAAAGATAAGCTAAGGCACTTTACTTGTCATCAAGGATGAACACTGTTTGTAGTTCAAGGACACGACTAAAGTTTACTAAAGTAATAACGTTTGCCAACTAGCTAATTATGGTTTAATTTAACGTATTTATTTTGTAACTTGTCATTCACGTTATCCTACAGTTACAGTTTACTAAATATTCTTAAAAAAAATGTTAGTTACTTTGGGCTGAAGTGACTGTCAGTATTTTGTGGTATTTTACAACACAATAATACTTTTTTAGCTGTTTATGTTTCATTTCTTTTAGGAATGACATTTTCAATTAGTAAATTTATGCTCCTTGGGGGTTCAGATCCTAATAATTTAGTTGTTTCTGTGTTTCAAAAATCAATTCACTGCCGTTGTTAATACTGATGCTTGATATTGTTATTCCTATGATACAATTTATTACATTTACTCAATAGAGTATTTTATTCAGTGGGTAATTGTAAGTAAATTTGTTTTTCTTGTCCTGTTAACTAAATAACAATAATTAATTGTATTTTGTAGATTAGAAGACGATTTCATCGCTTCTACGACTCAAACCGAACCATCAAACACAACGACAGCTACAGTACAGGACGACAAACGTATTGAGTCTATGGAGACAGATGTCGATTTTTCAGTCGTGGCCCTAACTACTTCGGCTATGACAACGAAAATAAGTAATGAGCATAGAGATACAGCTACTCAACAATCAGATAATGTATTAGAACCGAGCTTAAATATACTACCATTAAAGACGGTGACAACATCAAAACTTTCGGTTGCAGAATTAAACCCTATTTTTACAAAAGATCCAAGACTTATCATGAAAACGTCAAACAAAGAGTTAAGAACTATAGTGTGGACGCAGCCAGCATCAGCTATGATTGTAATCAATGTCACTACAGCCATGCCATCACGAGTTGAACAAGAGCCACATCTACTGGAAACCAACCAAGATCTGTCTGAAATAGAAGCAACATCTGCTGTATCACAGTCGAATTTTGTATCGGAATCTGTAGTTACACAACTAAAAGATATGACAGATCTAAATAATGTCACAAAAAGGGTGTCGTCCAAGAAGAAGTCAGGAAGAACAACTTTCATTACAAAACTAGACTCAGTCGAAACAAAGCAAAATCCCACAGCGACAAAGACACCTATTGTGACAGATCCGAACCCTGTAGTGTCCGAGTCGACAACAGGAGCTGACGATGTAACACTTAGTACAACAGATGTAACCTCAACACCTGATGTAGTTGGATATGAACCCTACGGTCACGAAAATAAAAGAGATTGTTACCAGTGTGACAGTAGCAGAGACGTCATATGTAAGTGCAGAAACTAATTCAGCTTCGGTGCCTGAGACAACCCCTTTACCAACTGGGACAAGATTTACAGAAGCAGAAAGTGGCTCTTCTGCTACAACCGTGAAAAGTAGCAGAATTTCTATTCCTTACTTTTTATACATCTTCATATCTGCACTTGAAGTACTCACATGGAGATGTGCGTTGATTCTGGTTGGCATCAGTGTTATCGTTTTGATTTGTATTAGTGTACGAAAGTGAGTATAATTGAAAATATTTTAATATTTTTAATACTAACAATTTACTTATGTTTAACCTAAAGATGGGTAGTTATTTTATAAGGATTATCCTAAAATTTTAATATTCCATACAATATAGTTTAAGATTTTATCACTTTTTATGAGTTATCACCACACAGAAGAGAAACGTGAAGTGGTATTTCAGAATACGTGTAGAACCAATATCCAATTTTGACTACATAATGTTGAATCACAAATGGATGTATTGCAGAGGACCCAAAAGTAACAAAGTCTACATATGACTTCCATGTCAAGAAGTGATAAAGGCTTTGGCGGCGGTTACACAATTTGTATACCTTTTTTTATGTCTAATTCTATTTTTAATATGTCTAATTATTGTTTAGGTACAAGAAATTTAAGAAATGTAACATTGAAGAGGAAGCATTTAAAAGAAAAACTAAACAAATTGTGAACAGTAACCAGTGAATAGTTGCAGCATTAGTAAGTGCGCAGCCAGCTCAAGCAGTTGGACCGAAACTAAATACTAATTTTATTGTACTTTACATTATTATAATGTTGTTGTTTTGATTTATTGTATTATTATTATAGACATTACGAAAAATAAGAGAACGTAAAAGATTGATTGTATTTTGCCAGTAGCTAAATATGTTTGACTGAGAGTATTTGATTATTGTACAATTTTAAACAATATCTTTACTTTCTCATTGTGAGGTAATCTTTTGATTTTACCATTAGAAATTAATTCTCACAATAAGTAGACAATCTGTAAAGACTTATTTTAATGAATTATTGTTAAATCTTTTATTTATTCCATATTTAATATAATTTATTCCTACATATAATAATTAATGATAAGAAACTAAATGTACTTACTTTCACGATTTTTCTAAGGAATGATCTGACTACATAAATGAATGTATGTCCTTGAAATTGTTTCATTCACGCAGGGTGGAATACTGTACTTATTGCGCATTTCTATCTATTCCGATTAGCATTGTGCAATGTCTTATAACTAGTGTCAGAATATTTTCTCAAGTAAATTATTGTGTACTGCTTTGAAATGATTATAGTAATTAATATTGACAAAATTGAAGACAATGCAAATAATTATAACAATAAATAAGACTGAAACGTATAATTTTAACATGAGCTGGTGTTGCTACTTAAGCGGGGAGGATTATCTCACTTATTTACCGACCGTAACAATGACATTGTAAGCTAGTGTAATACTCGTAGTAGTATTTGTGACTACAAGACTCCATGAGTCAGTACTTGTTTTGATTATATAAATTTTTAGATTTCTTATCAATTTGAATTTTAACAAAATAAAAATTAAATATATTCTATACTTTTATTTCCCCTATTTTAGTTAACTTATCAATGTGCACAACACAATGTTAATGTGACAAAATTTTAGTCGTTGCGTCACAGCATTACTAAATGTTGCATCATGTTACATGAATGTGATACATACTGACGTCTGTTGCTATCCTAAGATGATGATTTGGACAATTGCCTGTACGGAGGCTCTCAAATAATCTTTCATTCGTATATAATTTTAAGACGACTACATTGGGAAGCCAGGGTAAGGATTACCGCAAGGTATAATCTTGGCAGTAAAACAGCCATGATTCGGCACAAATAGGCAGGCTCGACCGGAGTGATTCCATAGATAGAAACCATAGCCACAGAAAACCGCTCAATGCTCATGAGCAAAAAACTCTCCCTCAACTGGAGAGGAGAGGAAGAGAGTCTCAGGTGCAACGCACTTGACTCTTAAGTTACATGTGTCCATGGGTGACGGTAGACACTTACCATCAGGTGATCCGTCAGCTCGATTGCTCCCTAAATAATAAAAAAGACGAAATAAGGTAGAAAGTGGAATTCTTTAGTAGCTATTAGAAAATGCCTCGAACTTACTTTCATACACTTAGTTCATTTTGCCGAGTCCAATAGACTGACCTTGGTAATGACGACGGTCTGATAACGACGCCAGAAAATGGATTACAGAACTCTTTTTACCTTCTAGATACAAATAACTATTTTAGCAATTTTTTTAACGTTTACTAAAGTTATTTTATTTAATAAACAAAATGAAAAATAATGTAGACAGTTTACCCTACCTTTAATGGATATTCGGAATGTGGTCTACAACAAGTAGTTTTCATATCAAAATTACATATTCGTCTCGATACACATTACTTAGTACCCTACATTTCATATTACACTCATCATAAGAAACTGTCCGTAAACCTACCAAGCAACAATGACGTCACAACTTGCGCTGTCATTATAGTAAGTTGTGCAATAATTTTTCCTCTACGCAACTTTGCATAGATATAAATATTGGGCTTGCGAGTACCGCAAACTTTAGTTTTCTCTTGACCGTCGTCGCGCCGAAGTACGCACCAGTAACTATTGCGAAAATGGCAGCTAAAACTTTACAAGTACTTTTCTTCTGCCTAATTTGCTTGGCACATGCATTTCCCATTTCCCAAGAATTAGCAATCAGCGATATTGGACTGCAAAGTGAAGTTCTTTATAAAACTGAAACAGTTCCTGTTTTTGGTTTGGACAAAGTTCTGGCGAGGAAGAAACGTCATTTGATCCGGTACGGAGGGTGTTCTAGAGGAAGAGTTTTTTACAAAAGAAGATGTATTACTTATAAAAGGTATTTTTTTTGACTTACTATGCTTACTTTGCATGAAATCCCCGTGGATTATTACCTCAGTAGATCTAGTTCTGATAGATGATGTGACATACGTATTGCAATCGAACCGACTAAAACCACTCATTAGGTAAATTGACAAAAGTTATCAATTAAAAGGGACCTTACTATATACCCTAAGTTGAAGTTCCCAAACTTCAACTTAGGGTAGGGCTTGTCTTCATCCGGTTTAAATAATATAAGCCTCGTTTGGCAACTGTTCCACTGATAGATATTTCTTCTATTTCTAAGGTAAAGCACAAATAATCTTTACAAAAATTCAATAAGCTTCCTCAACAAAGGTGTATGTTGATAAAATAATAAAATCATCTGAGCGAGATGCAGATTTTTTCACATTGTTAATACACCTTTGTACAAAAAAATTATCAAAGAAAAATTGTTTTTTTTATCACATACAAAACATTAAAGTTATATGTGTGCCCTCGCAGATCAAACCAAATACTAACTGTGTATAACATTTTTTGAATTTTCTTTGTCTTATATTTCAAGTTTTAATTATTTGCCCTAAATCTACATTCTTAATAAAACGAGTACCATCGTAACGTTTTTGAAAGAAACGAGTAACACTAGAAATTTTTGAACAGTTTATTTAAGGATGCCTAGATTTGTTAGAACTCAAAAACTCTTTTACTTACTTACTCTTTTACTCTTTTTACAGGTACAAACAATTAACCGAAGGAGACTACTATGACTGACCGGTTACAAGGAAACTACGAAATATAGACCAAATTATCTTCTACTTCATTATTATACTAGTCAAGAGAGAAAAGAGTTAAGAAGAAGAGAAGAAAATAAATTTAGAAGTATTATGTAAAGTTTTACAACGATTGCGACAATCGAAAGTTATATTATAAAGGCTTTTATATTCAACCGTTTGATAGATAAAGAGTTAAAAGGAAGGAAAACGAAACGTAATAGTACGCTTATTCATCAAAAATAACATTGTTTAATGAGGGCATTGTTTGATGCTAGTCTTCGTAAACTGTGTATTAATTTGACATCCGACGTTAGAATTTATGGTTTTCTGTTATCGTTACTATTGCTTAATTATCCGAATATTGTCAATCGATTAAGTATTTTTTTTTGTATTACTATAATATATAGGTAATGTTTATACACTGCAATCAACACTTTTATTTATGAACTTTGTTAACACATTTTGCTAAAGTTTTTAGTTACTACCATGAGTCTTCAACCGTTAAAATCTGTATTTTTGTAACCGCCTCAACTTGTTGTAATGTTATTTAGATTTTATTAATCAAATCTATCCCTGACATACTATGCTATGAAATAGGAAAGGAAAAACTGACTAAGTTTTGACTAGCTAGTAATCAAGTGGGTAATTTATGAGTTAGTATTTCTTTTATAGTTTTAGGTAGAACTTTTTTTGTGATTACAGAGTTATTATAATATTATTGTGTTAGTAGTCGTACACATATTATATATAATAAAAGAACATAAGTCTATTGTTAATCTTCCGAAATTAAATTGACGTTAAACGACGGAACTGTTGGTTAGTGGCCCTGTTTGCTAAGACGGAGGTCGTGGGTTCGTTATGTATTGTGTGATGAGCACGGTCATTTGAGATGTGTGAGGTATCTTATTATTAATCTTAGAATAAGTAGAAAATGCAACTAAATATTATTTTATTTAATTAAATTATTACATGATTTATTAAAAAGTATTTTTTTTAAAACCGATCTCTACATTAAAAACACCTGTACTGTCTGTCTATCTTTGACGGTCCAGTAGGCCAGTCTTTAGTGATCCTAACTACCAAATCAAAAATGGGTTGGGTTCGATTCCCACCCAGGACAAATAATTGTGTGATGCTTGCTTAGTTCATCAGTTGTTCTGTGTTTGGGTGTGATTTATCTACAATATATATATATATATATATATATGTTTATATATTTATATTTATCAGCAGTCTGGTTACCATAGTACAGGGTAGTTTGGGATCAGAGGGCTGTATAATATATGTGTATAATAAATACGAATTCCACCTACAAAAAATATATTTTTTATTCAAACTGATGCTTTAGACACTCAAAACATTGCTTTTAATTATAATCAAAGTTCATACTTTTAAACATAACCGCTTCGATAAGACATCGATAAGCGTAAGTTAGATACATAATTTCAATTGAATATAGCTAAAACCTACAGGAGAATTGAGTTGTCAAGGACCGATGACAATGCAATAATTTAAATAGTTTTACCCATTATACGGATCATTTCCATACCTAAAAATACGGTAGTGTATTATGCCTTGTTATTTTTTAATAACCATCATTATAATAACCATAATTAATGATTAAAAACGAAATAGGTAGCAGAAAATTCTGAGTGGCCTCGACCCATTGAAGTCTGCCGACCCTGATTATCTATCACCTAAATTCTTAATAAAATGTGCTAAAACTGTAGCTTTGCCGATATCGCTGTTATTTAAGAAATCACTTACTATTTGTGCTGTTCCTCGGATTTGGAAGTCTGCGTATGTTACACCCGTGCACAAGAAAGGGCCAAAAACTGAAATTGTTAATTATAGACCCATTTCCAAATTATGTGTTTTAGCAAAAGTCTTTGAAAGGGTTGTTTACGATCAAATGTACGCTGCGCTTAAAAATACTTTTAATCCATCACAACACGGTTTTTTAAGAGGACGTTCAACCGTTTCAAACTTGGTACTACTGAATGATTATGTGACGCAGGGCATGGATGATGGTGCTCAGGTCGATGTTATTTATACTGACTATAGCAAAGCGTTCGATAAAATAGATCACGGCATACTGAAAACAAAATTATTTAACAGTGGCATAAGGGGGGACTTACTTCGGTGGTTTTCCTCTTATCTTGAAAATCGGACTCAAGCTGTAGTTGTCAGTAATTATATTTCTGGCTGGGTTTCTATCCCCAGCGGTGTGCCCCAGGGTTCCTTAATGGGTCCATTGCTTTTTACGATTTACGTGAATGACATCGACTCCTGCTTCCAAAGTTCTAATCTGCTCTGTTTTGCTGATGATATGAAGATCTATTCTGCAATATCATCGGCAAACGATGTGCAGGCGCTTCAATCAGACTTATCACGACTTGATCACTACTGTCAATTAAACAAATTAGAACTAAACCCCGTTAAATGCTCAGTCGTCACGTTTGGTAGAAAACGGTCTGCAATACTAGCACCATACGAACTTAAGGGACAAGTATTGCCAAGATGTGATGGGGTGCGTGACCTTGGTGTTTACCATGACGCGAAGCTACTGTTCGATGTGTATATTGAGCAAATTATTGCTAAAGCTTGGAAGCTTTAGCAATAATTTCAAAAAGCTTCCAAGGCTTTGGGGTTCGTAATGAGAATTTCCAAATGTTTCGTAAAAGCTAAAACGCTTAAAATTCTCTACTGTTCTTTTGTTAGGAGCCACCTGGAGTATGCCTCGCAAGTTTGGAACCCTTGCTATCATAGGTACATTGATCGCATTGAGAACATACAGAAACGTTTTCTGAGGTTCTTGTGTTTTCGTCTAAATATTCCTTATAGCTCAAACAATTACATTGGTCTGTGTAAGAAATTTCATATCCAGCCACTTTGTAAATCGACGCCAATTAGCTGATTGTTCTTTATTTTTGAAAATTATTTCTAATGAGATTGACTGTCCTAGCCTTTTGCAAAAGTTAAATTTTAATGTCCCCCGTAAGTCGATTAGATTTAATCTACCCATTTCTATTCCATTTTCTTCCTCCATCTATAGAAAAAAATCATATATTGTGCGAGCGAGCGGAGATTTCAATAAATTGTGCAAGGAATACTCTCTCGATCCCTTTAATACCAAAAGCAATGTTGTGCGCGGTATGCTAAACCTTATTTTTTTTAGATCGTAACATTTTTAGATCGATTATTATTTATTGTATAGTTGTAAAGGTGTAGTGTCGTGTTAGTTAGTGCTCCAGAACCTCTGTTATTTACAATGATTCTATTCGTGAAAACCTGTAATTGGCTTGATGTAGCATATCAATCTGACCATTTCATTTTTGTAGCTGTTGGTTTTACTAACTGAAATAAATAAATAAATAAAAAAGTAGAAAATCATCTTTATAAAATAAAGTCGCTTTTTCGTGCTGTACGCTTAGATCTTTTAACCGTACGTTTACGTAACTGATTTTATTGCAATTTTCACCAATAGGAAGGTTTATATGTATAATACATGCATATTACAGTAGAGAAAATCCGAGAATTTCAAAGATTTGTCGGAATAAACATGTTTTTGTGCGCTTACATTGCAAACGCTAGCTAAACCTTACGAGATAGACCAAAATAATGTACTACGGAATTGTATATCTTAAAAATATCTACAAAACATTTTGTCATGGTATATGTCTATATCGTAAAAATAACTCACAGTACCCATTTTTATGTTTTAAATATTACAAAAAAATAATAGGTTATTTACGAAGATATTTTAAACAATTAATACATTAATATGTTGTGCATTTCATGTAGATTAAAATTGCTCTTTGCAGCAAATCATTCAAGTAAATATTTTAGAAGATTTTAGAGGTTTAATATGCGGGGGCCCAAAGACCATCGAGCCGTACCGTCCGTCCCGGGTTGCAGCGGCCTCTCGACCGACAAGATCGGAGCGGAGCGGAAATGTAGTATAGTCTTATCATAACAATGGTATAATTAATTACTCTACACTGACACCACATTAGTACTATAAGTAGTATCTACATTGCAGCCGTGCAAAGCTAGGACCGATCGCTAGTTTTCTATAAATTCTAAATGAAAAATCATTTTATCGAAAAAAAAGAGCGTAGGGTGCCTTTCAAGGTATTTTATAATATAATTACTTTTACTAATACCTGTCAGTAGAATATTTTTAAAACAATTGACCTCCACGCTTTTTACTGACTTCAGAAATTAGGAAGTTGTATGCTCCACTGTATGTATTTCTTTTTTTTTTATGACTAAATGATTTCTCTTTTTGAATTTATTGAAAATTATTTTCTACTGTTTCGTTCGGCTCGCTACAAAACCGTCTTCGCAATGATCCTAACATAGAGTTTGTGCATCTCATTCGTCAGGCACTTCATACGAGGAAGGCTCGATGGTTACGGGTGTTTATAACGAAGCTCTTTCAGAGGGCCTAGTGTGAGTCACATCACACACACATTGAGCGCGTCACATATTTACAATTAAAAAATTCAATTTTTTTAATATTGCGTCAAGCCCTATTGGATGATACATAAATTGTTGCGACATTGAAGTTCAATGTTGTTAAGAAAAATGTTTCATGTTACATCATTAATATTATTTCTTGCATTTACATTTTATTGCGCAAACTTCTCTGAAGTAGAATAAGTACATTACTGAACAAAACTATTATACGTTTAGTAAAACAATTTACCAGGCATACTTTTATATCAATCAACTAGGAGATAAAAACCCCTCACAGAAGGCTAAATATTTGAGGAAAATTATATGTACACACCTCACAAGTGATTGTAAGTGATTCTGAGCAGGAATATGATCGAAAATTGTGTTGAAATATGTGTAGATGTTTAAGTTAAAATAAAAATGATTTGATACGTTTAAGGTTTTATTAATTCTCTTCTTTTATCGATTATCTTACTCCTACAACAACATTTTTACACACAACAAAATTTACAAAAGTCTAACCCTACACTATGGTAT